GCTGAGCAAAGTAATTTGGTATTAAAGTATTAACACTGGGCAACTTTAGTATTCTGATAGAGTAGTAATTGAAATTTTAATAAATCTGAATTTCTCAGGGCAGTTGGCTCATTAGTAATAGGTATTACCAGTTTTGCAAACATTTTCCACTTGGATGTGACCTATTCATTAAATATGTACACACACACACACACACACACACACACACACACACACATATATATATTTCCGAGTATCCAGAAAGCAGAGGTAAGTTATTTCTGAGTTGTCCAGATTCTTCTATGGTATTCACCTTCAAATAAGGTGCTTGGCATCTACTGACTCCTGATACCAACTAGACAAATACTGACGTGAAGTGATTTTTCCTAAGAAAAGGCTTGTAATTACACAGCAAAAGGTGAGAACAGAGGTGATTTACCAATTTTTGGAATTCATACTTTTCTTGGTTCATAAAATGAATCACATGGATAATAATCAAGAATACTATAAACCCTCAAAATAATAAATGTTAGTTATAATGTCAGAATGAAATATTAAAACTATCATAGGAGCAGAACAATATTAAATTAATTTACTTCAGTGAGACTTCCAATGAAAATCAACATATGATATTTCACGATAAGATTTCTAGTTAAACCAGCACAAAACATGGAGAAGGTAGACAGTGGTAGGTCAACTAGGGCCTTATTAAATCACAAGATATTTGTAGGAAGGAGAAAAGGCTATAATTATGAGCACACAGACACAGTTCCTGTGCTTATGTTGCTTAAAATTATTATAGGACAGCAATTCAATGGCAATAAATGTCCACACACTCATACATATACGTAATTTTAAATTTTGAAAATCTCTGGAATAAAAGTGAACAAGGAAAGATAATTTTGACTTGAGGGACAGGGAGAGTTCTCTACAGCAATCATATACCTGACCTGAATTGGCTGAGACTGGGGGAAAGGTATTTCTAGGAAGACAAATGTGTGTGTGAAGGTCTGAGCTAGGAGGCATTTAGCTTCTTTTCCAGAACTTGAAGAACACTCTTATGGGAGCACAGTGAGGAAAAGGGCAAGTAACACAGCCCAAGAGGTAGGCAGGCCCCTGGGCGTGCAGAATCTTGAAAGCTCTGATGGGCAAATGGCCCATGGAAACTGTGGCTGTATAATCGCCTTGCCATTGAATATGAAGTCAGATATAATGATGATCTCAGCATTGCAAACACCCCTTCTTTAAGTCATCTGAAATAGGTTTGGTATTGAGACTCACAGGTCAGAAACAGAATCTATCATAGGCCATTTGAAGAAATCATCTTTGAAGCTGGTATCTGTAGTCATCTTGAAGCATATACACCAAACCTGTTGTCATGAGTAAATTTGCAGATCTGAGCCCAGGAAAGGGAGCGACTACATCTATTGAGGACCCATAACATTGGCTACATGGTACACATGGTCTCATTTAATCTTCATATTATTTTCCTCCATTTTATAGGGAATACTAAGTCACAGGCAAGGTAGTGAAAGAAAGAGGAATAATTCAAATTTGAGTCTTTAAAGTTTGTGAAATTTCTACTAGGACATACGATTCTTTAATAGTCAAAGCACAATGAACATGTGTGATACTGGACCTCCTGAGATAAAAGTCCTTACAGGTACTAGTAGTCTTCACTTCTTTCATGGGTTCAGTCTGTCCTTTAGTCATAAATTTAGACATTTAAACATTCACTTAATAAACATTAACTGAAAGTTTAGTAAAACACTGTGATATTATGGGGAAGAAGAGATAAAGAAATAGAGAAAGGGAAGAGATATAAAGAAACATAAGACCCAGGGTCTGCCATCAAGGAACTTGCATGAGGGGAGCTTATATATACAAACTTATAAACTAATACAACACGTGTCTGGTCACTAGAGCAATGCAGGGTAAGAGTAATTCCTGCCATGCCCCGAAAATGCAAGTGGGATGTGGATGGGCAGTCATGGGCAAAGGATATTCCCCAAAAAGCCTTTAATGTGCAGAGATATTTGCTATAAAACCATTTCAGACACTTTCTTCTCACACTAGTCAAACTGGAAGAATATGGAGCATGCGCTTCTGAACAGGGACCCATGGTGAGTTCAAGAATGTTATGGATTGAGTGAAATATAATTCATTTCTGGAGTCTCCTAATTCCTTCTTCCTATCTCCTTCTTTGTTTACCTCAAATCTAATAATAAAGGATTGAAGTCAGATAATTCTATAATCCATTTTTTTTTGCAATACTAGAGCTCATACCAAACCCTCTACCACTGAGCTACAACCCTAGCATTCATTTTTGTTTTGTTTTAAATACACAGTCCAATTCACAGGACCAAGTTGCTCCGCTTGATAAGATGCCATAGGGGAAAAGGAAAAGGAAATGGAGATAAAACCAGATAATGGGTGCTTTGAATATCAAAGTACATAGTTTAGATTTTCTATACTAGATAACAGAAAATCTTGAGGCTTGTGCTGTATGTGTGTTTGTATATCCAGTTTCTTAGGAATAAACACATTGAAATGTGAGAGTATTTTTTCCAATTATAGAAATAAACCTTATGAATTGAACATATTTATGCTCATTGTTTTATTTCTAGTTTCTTTCAATAGCCAATATGTGTTCAGACTATTGTTTCCCCAGATTATTGTAGCACTACTGTTAGGGGAGTTAATTTCAAAATTAATCCTGAGAGTCAACAAAATTTCGTCCAGCCAACATTTGATGTGTCCAAACAAAAATTTGCATATTCCAACTGTCTCTCTGACTATAATTTACTTTCTTCTCAATTCCACACAGCAAATATTCTTTCCTAGTGTTTCCTTTGACATGTAAGGTCAAAGAGTTAATTATGCCTTTTTTAAAAAAGAGCTTGCTCAACATGGGCTTTTGATATTTCCCTACAGCCCAGTCATCTTCCAAGTCAGATTTTAATAATATTGACCCATAACCTTTATTTCAAAATTGATTTTGTCAAGAAATCAAAGGTTGGAGAGTAACTATATTAAATATTGATTTTTTTAAAGACTTTTTTTCCTCTTGCCCTTTCTCTCAGAAGCTGAAAGAAGATATTAATGAAAGGGTTAATAGCCTTTGAAAATCCACACTGATGTTTCCTTTTTCATTTATCTTCAGTAGTTTTATCTCAGGATTATAATATAGTTTTAGTAGCATTTCATTTTGAAAGTATTAGTGTGGCTTGACATGTGGCATAATCCTGTAATCCCAGCACTCTGGGAGACTGAGGCAGGAGGACCACAAGTTTGAGTCAGACTGACTTAGAGAGACCCTGTCTAAAACAAACAAACAAACAAACGAACAGCTGAGGATGAAGCTCATTGAAAAGGTCCTGGGTTCCATCTCCAGTACCACACACACACACACACACACACACACACACATACACACAGTAGAGATGTGTCCTAAAAGCATTTTAATAAAATACATCTACTTACAATATTAACTTTAGCAGACTCTAGAGCACGATTTAAAATAAAATGGAAATTGAAGAAATAAATCCAGAAGGTATATTATTTTTATCTTATTTTAAATTTTAAGAATACATTTTAATTGCACAATGTCTCTTGATAATACCATCTGCCTTTTATTGAATGCTGTCCTCTGTCAGGTACTGCTTTACAGAAAGTGTAATAAAACCCCTATCAGATCAATGGGACTGAATGGTGGCCCCCTCCAGATTCATATAATGAAGACTTAACCTCAAATGAGACAGGATTTGGAGACTAATTTGGTAATTAACATTAACTGAAGTAATAATTGTAGGTTTCTAAAGCAGTAAAATTGGTGACCTTGGGAGGAGGAGGGGGAGGAGGAGGAGGGAGAAGAAGAAGAAGAAAGAAGAAGAAGAAGAGGAGGAGGAG